TCCTACAACTTTTCCCTCAAAGCACCTTGGTTTAGTTAGAGTTTTTGTTGTTTTGCGAGTTTCCCATAGTGTGCCATGTTTCCCTGTTACAAGTACATTATTATGCAGACAGTTTCGAGTATGAGTCTCAAAATATTCGTTATTGAACAGTCATGTAAAGGGAGTTTAGTAGAAGTGACTGCACAATATCTTCACTGTGAAACTATTAAACAAAGCGGGAGTGGGACTGCAGTGGCTGGAAGTAGTCAAAGTAATTGAATTCACTGTTTTCTTTTTTTTCTCAGGAAAATAGTTCTGCATGTAGGCCTACAGGTGCTCCAAATCAGTGTTGAAATTATGTGATGTACACAAAAATATACAGTGGTATATGCACAAAAAGGTAGTGTATCATATGATGCCAGAGGAACTGTCTCAGGATATTCCTACTTCTTACCTTCATCTTGATCCGAGTCTTCAGGGCTATCAATGCTATCTTCCTGACTTTCAAGTTCTTGCTCACTTGTTGATGCTTGTTTAGTAGGATCTTCCGCTGGAAAGACAATATCTGATATAACATGAAGACAAACTAAAATCTAAGTTGTCTCACATTAACATGTGTAAACAGCTGTAAAAAGTGTAAATGTTATTCATTTGCTCGACATAAAATTTACATTGTCATTTAATAACATTAATATTCACAGGATGACTGAATTTCTTCTTGCAAGTTGGAAATGCAACTAATTTAAGAGTTTTGAAAAGAACCGTAAAGCTTGACGCATTTCATTCCTATTTTAGCAAAGATCAATCATCATCAATGCTAAAATTCCTTAGTTCAAATCACATACAGCAGCACCAGACACCATGCATTGTGATGTATAGCGTACTACGAACAGACAATACATAATATCCTCAGCACTGATCTCCCAAGTGCACACATAAAGCGCTGCAGTAGTGTATGTGATAGTTCTTCCCTGGTTTTTGTGCATTACACACACACGTAGGCGGATATAGCAAAACTATAGGTGAGTTCCTGGAATAAACCAATGAAAACCTCGGCTGCCTGATGAATAATTATGAAGTATAGTAATATATTGATCCTAAATTAATCAGACTAATCAAAAGTGATATATAAACTTGTATTCAGACTTTAATCTATCAACTCTACTATCGATGGCCTTCTGGTAGGATAAACATACCAGAGAACTGGATATCTTGTACATGTAGTTTCTTTCCAACAAACTGGTTGACTACGCCTTAGTCTTGGACAAGGAGCAACATGGCAACCTCTACTCTTTCAATGACATCTGATCTTGCTCTGTTGTGCACCCTATGAACATCAAGTGTGTAGCCAAGATGGTCACAGACCCAGTCCAGCTCTGACCGACTCAAGTTCACCACCTGAATCAAAGCCTTTATGAAACACAAAAGAGACACAAAATCAAGTGCAAAATCTATGTAGGCAATTTTAAATGCCACTCCAGTTAGTCAGCAACTCCAGTTGGTCAGAAAAATTGACCACTAAAAGGGCCATGTAGCATTTCACAAATAAGTTTACCTGTCTTATTGTTGCCAAGTACTTTTGGAGGGTCACACTGGTTACTCAGCCCGGATTACTCAAAGATGCTCTCAGGCCAACTTTTGTGAGGCATTCATAACCACGGACAACACCAAATCTGCATGAAATAAATTTCTTAAATTAGAATAAAAACTTACATTTTAAACAATGCACTCTGTTCATTGGGGCACAATGCCCAGAGTAAACTTCAAATTGTCCAGAAAATCACTGGTTCATCTATCCTGATCATTCAATAATGATTGATGCCTTTTATCATAAGCAAATATACACAATTCTCTGAATAAGATGACATGTGCCCATGCATTGAGTCAGGAGGGATACGTACCTTGTGTGCACTGTGACTGTAGACCATCAATATCTCTCAACAATATAAAATATGTTCCAATGCAAGTATTGAACATGAAGAGATTACATGTACAATCAAGTTTATGCACTTAGGAGAGCCAGCAAAGACACGTTTGTTTTCTGGGTGGATTCCTGCCTTTATTCGAACTTTGGGAGAAGTGAGGTATCCCAACATGGCTCCACACTCAGCAGGAATAAGTACAGGAACACCTCTTCCAGTCTGAAAAAAATTCCAAACAGAGGTAAAAGGTAAATTAAGCAAGATGCATAAATCAGCAAACTTCACTACACTTTCAGTATAATTACAAGAATTTTCATCATCTAAGACTGTTCTCAACCAACTTGCTTACGGGGAAATATTCATTTGAGTCCAATACAATGCCAAGGAAATTAAAAAAATAAAGCAGACTTGATATGAGCATATATTTATCTACAACACAAATGGTTTGAGGCAAGTCCTCACCTTCCCACACACCATTACAACTTCCTGAAATTCTAGTAGGTGCTTCTCAAATTCTGTCAGTTCCTTGGTCAAGTGTTCATCCATATCACTGACTCCTGTTTTCTTCTATTCACAGGACGACAGCCTAGGCAATAAAAGATTTAAATGTAGGCTACACTGTACATGCACACAACTGCTGCTCAGTTCATAACATTTCAGAGGACTCATTAAATTTTCAAGTCGTAGTAGCTGTGCAGTAGAAAAGGAATTGGTAAACATGAAGATTCTGATCCCTATAGTCCCAAAGAAAAACGTGAATAAACCAAAAAAGACATACTGTTTATACATATGCAACCCAACTGCAAAAGGAGAGTTGAAATGCATGGCAATATTTTTGTCTATAAAAAAGTAGTGAAAGTCAGTTCAGTTTCCGTTCAGTAAACAAAGAAGTCAGCGTACTTCATAGCTTGACTCTCTCCACATCTACGTCTGTTGTAGCTTATTAGCTTGGCTTGGACAAGCTGAACACCTGCTCTGAAGTTGTCAGCCAATTTATCCAAAGAATAAAAGTTACCCAATTCTTTTGACAGAAAAGAACTCATCTTCATTAAATTATCAGGTCTAGGAAGTTGTTGCATGGTGTACTGACATTCAGCAAGCCTCACTCTAGCTAGTATGGTGATACGTACACTCCATTCAGACTTCATCAACTCTAGCAAATCCCTGCACTCTTCTTTCACGAGTTGATTCCTCGCCCTCATTGCTATGCCCATTTTTTAGGTTACACATTTTCTTCAGGTCATACCCAATCTTTATGGCATTTGATGGGGACTTTAATTCATCAAGATCATCACCATCCTGAAACGCTGCCACGAGAGCAGCTTTGACACACCTGTCAAAATGTTGTGGACAGATGTAGTCCCACATCTCATTCTGATCCCTTGTTTTAGAACAGCCTTGTGGTGTTACTTTCTCTACTTTTCCTTGTGAAGATGCAACAGCAGGCTGCTGGCAAGTCGCATTACTCCACTTGTGTAGCTTCCCCTCACGATTTCTTTTCCAACATTACGAACAATCGCATGGTTCCCCAAACAGACAATAAGTGCATCAGCTCTTGCCACTTGACTTACTTCATCATACAGCATGATGGAAAAAACCTCCTTCAAGAGAAGTTTGCTTGCCTCTTCTGTGATTCTTCCCGACATAACCAGAGACTGGGTAAGTGATGCACCACGGCTCTGTGTAGAACCATCACAAGCTCCTGGGCATGCATCATGAGAAATGAGCTTCAACTGCTGCCACTCAAAACATTTCGGGCAAGGACCATATTGTGCAACATCAAAAGGACCCAAGTTGAACCTCATACCCAAGACAATTTCTCCAGGCTTCTTCTTCAACACTTCAATGTTGTGCTCTTAATCTCCCCTTAATTGCTTTTCCTCTCTCTCTACTTTATTGTGATTCTTCTTCTTTGGGTTCTAGGCTCTCAAGTTCCTTCACCTCTGGCTCCCTTTAGTGCTTCATAGTGCCCAAGTGTTTTGAGAAATTTGAAAACTCATTCTTCCCAGGTGGACAGAAAGGACAATGGTGGTAAGGATCATACTTTCTGGATGACATTTTTTTCTTACCTCCACTACTTATCTCAATTTTTGTGACTACCTTGACATTGATACCTCGATCTTTTTCAATGTTGTCAGGAATACTAGATTTATCATCATTATCAGACACCTGTGTTGATTCACAGCTGGGAGGGAACTGTAGTGATTCATCTGATTCCCCTTCAGAGCTGGACGTAACCTCTACATCAGATCAATTTGATCCACGGCTGTACGTATTAGTGGCACTGGTAAACTGTACTGAAACTGTCCTAAAATTTTTTGAGTTATGCTGCCCATCATTGGAATGGCTTGAGGCAAGATACAGGAACACTACAGATTTCTCAGACTCGTCATCTGAGTCTGACACTTCTTCGTTGTCACTATCTGTTTGGTCACTATTTTCTCAGCTTGCTGACCTGAATGAGAGATCCCATCACTGACAGCTCCATCACCAAGCTCCATCCTCTCAACTTCTTGAACAAAATCAGCAACCCCTTCACAGACAGCTCCGTCACCATGCACTATCCTCTCACCTTCTTGACCTGAATTAGAGATCTCATCACTGACAGCTCCGTCACCATGCTCCATCCCCTCACCTTCTTGACCTGAATAAGAGACCCCATCACTGACAGCTCCGTCACCATGCTCCATCCTCTCACCTTCTTGACCTGAATTAGAGACCCCATCACTGACAGCTCTGTCACCATGCTCCATCCCCTCACCTTCTTGACCTGAATAAGAGACCCCATCACTGACAGCTCCGTCACCATGCACCATCGTCTCACCTTCTTGACCTGAATTAGAGACCCCATCACTGACAGCTCCGTCACCATGCTCCATCCTCTCATGACAGACGGGTTGCCATTCTCCGTCCCTAAATTTTTGTCACTGTTGGCCATCATGGTCATCTTCTGTTAAGCGAGCTGCTCTGTCTGAGCTATTTCTACATCAGAATTATATTTAGGTAGGTGGTGGGCTAAAGTCCTTAATATCAAAGCTGAAAATAAAGGAAATGTATTAACGAACGGTCAAACAGACAACTCCTTCTGACATAGAATAATTAAAAATTATATAGAAACTGTTTGCCAGACTGCTATTTGCAGGTTGGTTAAATGTTGTCAATGCAGGTTGCAAACAAACCTAGTGTCATAAAAGCTGCCCTCCCTTTTGTACCTAACGGGATGCTTTGTTGCTGCCATAGAGATTAAATTCAGAAGGTCAGACAGGGTTGATTAAAACTGCTCTCAAAAGGAATTGCCTAATATGATGTAGGGGGACCACTGCCAGTTTAATTGAATGCCTTTATCTACACAAACACTACAGAACAGCACCTCTACAGCCTCTCATTCCATGAAATGTCCCCTTGCACATTTAGGTTAAAGGTTTTATTTCAAGCTATCCTAGGTTCTAAATCTGGTCTATTTCAATTTCTAATATCATAACTTGTAATCCAAATGTGCACATTACGGAATAGTTTGGTGCAATTTTTCAAAGTGAGGATGCTGTTAACAATTTCTGGTACTGTTTTTCCTCCTGCCCTGCACCCATATTTGAAACTGCAACAAACAAGGGAACTTAGATTATTGAAATTCATCAAAACAATATGAATAGGAAAAGTGACGTGAGTCAGTGCTATTGAGAAAACCTGTAAACTGTTTAACGATCAAAGTAACTTAAGGTCACATTTTGTTAAAACGTTAAACTCGGCAAAACTCCTCAAAATAATTTTTTTTCATAAAGTGTATGTGCCGTGTTGATCATTCCTTAAGTATAAAATCCACATGGCCCTCAAACTGTAATCTCACTTTTAAAACATGACTGAACAAAACAACAGAACACAACAAATTGGATAAAAATGTAAATTTGGTGAACATCTCCAAATACAACTTTTACAACTGAGTTTCTACCTCGTCCTTTTAGTGGATCGTTCACATCAAATGGTTTGATGGAACATCTGGATACCACTATTATGCTGGAGGAGGAACAAAGTGTACTAACATGGTATCTAATCTGACCATACATTTTGACATCAATGTTATAAAGACCTGAATACAAAAAATATTTGAAGTATAAGTTAAGAGCATGGAAAAGTGCCATCTGGTTTCAATATAGTCAGAATTAGAAGCTGTTGGCCCTACATTTAAGTTTGAATTTGTCAGTCCATTTTAACCAAAACTCCAAGTGATTTACTAGGAACCTTCCACACCCTTGCAAAATCCCAACACCATATGTTAAACTGTGAACATGATCTGTTGTTTGATCTGTTGATTTTAACAATCTACAATACAAGAATATATTTTATAAAAGACCGAACATGTCCTATTTTCGAATTTAATACCAGTGTGCCTTATTTTGCGCATCATGAAAAAACAGTACTCACTCAGGCTCATTCTGAAAGCTACAAATGGTTAGGTAGCGCCTCCCCTTTTTTGTGGTTGCTTCCCTCACATGCAGGCCACCATATGGCATCATATTTTACAAGCACTACATCCCCCTCTAGAGTAAAGAATCAAAATTATGTACATACACTTTCATAACCTTTCACAGACAGCAGCTTGATCTTTAACCCATAAGGTGCAGTTTATGATCTACATTGTAACTACACATTAATAAATCTTTTAGAGCGGCGGTAAAGAGATTTGGAACAGAAGTTAAGAAGGAGGGGCAAAGCATATCTCTACTGAGTTGAAATTGCTTTGAAAAGAAAGAGCCTACAACTGACTTTTGTCTACGTACATGTACCCTACACATTGACAATCTAAGGACCCATGTAATTTGCAGTTGATCACTACAAATATAATTAAAACATGTTTTTACCTTCGAACATAACCTTTGCTGGAATCCCCATCTTTCATAAATGCAAATATGCAAATACCCATCAAAAGGATTAATACTACAAGCAAAAAATCCATCTGCAAAAAAGGTTATTTCCTATTAAATTCCCGATTGATTGCCATTGTAATCAAAAATAGCTATTACAAATGCAATCATGTAGATGGCTGTTTTCATACACGTATTTGGATACAAATTACTAAAATATGAGAGCAAAGAACATGATAAAATTGGGATAAACATGTCAAATATTAATGGGCTTAAATGCACATAAATTATTTGTTTCACTCATAATGACCATTATCTGTCCAAATAATTGTGGATTTTCATGTCCAACATTAATGGGGTTAGTTACACACACTGTGTAGCACACATAAATTGTTGTCTGTCCAAATAATTGCAAGGTGTCATGTTCAATATGAATGGAGTAAGTTACACACACATACTATATACCAACACACACATTATATGTATCAATCATCATGACTATTGTCTGTCCAAATAATTGTGGGGTATCATGTCCAACATTAATGGGGTTAACTACACACACTGTAGCACACATAAATTGATGTCTGTCTAAATAAATGAGATGTGTCACATCTAAGTTATATGTGTAACATACTTTTCTTGCTCGGGTGATTTTTTACATGGCAGTGGATATTTAACCGTCCCAGGCAAAACTTCTGTAAAGGTATTTTGCTGGTAGGCCTTTTCTGATTGGCTGGTGATGACATCATCTCTTGCCATCAAGATAAAAATGGGAGAGTCAAGAGAAGAAAAATACGTTAAAAAAAGGAGAGAAATGATTGCTGTAAACTTTATCAGGGATTTCAGAATATCCACTGCCACGTAAAAAATCATGGGAGCAAAAAAACTTTCCATCCAAAAACGGGGATAGTGTTTTTTGGGACTCCCAACTATTTAGTTTATATTTCTAAAAAAAATTAAATATCTACTACCATGTAAAAAATGTGACGGCTAAATAGGCCTATCCACTGCCTTTTTACAAACCCCCTGATCATATTCAAAATGTCAATCGTAAATCAGCCAAAAATGACTCATTACTACAACTAGGCCAAGTAGTATTTCATTGTTTGGAAACAAAATATGTAGGCCTAGACCTTAAGCTAGTGAGGAATTTACATTTCTCCTTCAAAAGTCACCTTGGAATAAAGCATTCCATCACCTTGGCAGAACAATACAAAAAGGTGAGATTTTATTACATTCAACATGTTCAAGTGACCCGGGAATCATGGGAATAGGAAAAATTCGGAGATACGAAAACGCCTGTACAGTGTGCTGACCACCTTTACCTTTCTCTTGAATACATGTAGAATTTTAAAATTAGGTCTTTAGTTGAGTAAAATCAAGGTAGAGTATTTAGAGTACGCTAAATTTAGTTTCGTTAGGCCTCAAAGTAACATAACCAATGTCATGTCATCATCATGAACGTCGTTGATCATGTGATGGTTGACGTTGTTGATAGCGACTGAATTTTTTTATGGCGATCAACAAGTTGAACTCTAGATCTAACGAAAATGACCATCATGATGATGGGCCTAGGCTATCCCCCCCAAAAAAATCAGAAGCTAAGCTTAATTTTTACGATAAGCATGAAAAATCCTACTATTTGGCTGTCAAGTTTCCTCGGGCACAGTCGGCGTTGCCACTTCGAGTCACGAGGCTGTTAAAATGGCCACTTCTTCGAAACCGTACTGCACCACTGTTCCCTGGTAACCACCATGTATACGCGTGAATTATCTGCACAGGTAACCATTCTTACTAAAACGCATGCAACCAAGAGGTGGCACTGTTCAGTATTGAAAAATTTTTGACTTGCATAATGTGGCCGTTTGAAGTCCGTAAGTTTTGTGCACAGTTTTGGACACAGTATTAGTGGGGTCCGTTGAAAATATTCCTTGTACCCCAGAACGCATGACAAACATGTTCGTATGAATTTAAAAGTGGGATTAAAAGTGGGATATACCCCACTACTGACTAAGTACCCCAGAAATGATTATATGTTCTTGCCATGAACCCCACAATGTGCCTCTCATAAGAGCAGCAGAAGGACAGACCGTCAGACAGATGAACAGAAATTGGTATTACATAGGCTTGCATTTGCTTCACAGCTCACCAAAAATGATGCACATCAAAGCATAAGGCTAAGTAATGATAAGTGTCATGTTACTGTACATCATGAAAACAAAGGCAATTAATTCATTACGGCCAAAAAATGTCCCATTTAAATGCCACTGACATGATCCAGGTACGGGTTACATGTACATGTGTATACATGCACGCTAAACACAACACTTGAAATTAAACCAGTTTCTTGCATATGTTTACAGGTACAATAGTAACAGGGGTGTCCTTGTAGTCAAAGATATCCTCATCAGCATCTTGAAAGTCAGTCCACACAAAAAACTTTGATGGATGGCTGAAAGAAAATTTCTCCCCCACATTAGTGGGGGTTTCAGCATTTTATTTCTTCCCTTCTAAAAGTTTATACAAAAAACCCAACTTTAGCATCACCCCTCAGAAAGTCCATAAAAGATTACACAAATTCCCAAAGTTTTTAGCCCCCCATGATTTTGCCCTCCTCCCATTATCAATTTAAAAAGTTTTTCACTCATAGAATGGAGTGGATGTCAAAGGAGGTCACTGAATAGTGAATATTCAGACAAAGCTGAATAGAGCGTCAATAAATTATTCGTTGAAAAGGAATATAAACTGCAATGTTATACAAACATCAAGGAAGCCCTCTTCAATATCAAACAAACACTCCCAGATCATCAAAGGTAAAGACATATTTATGCCGACAGACAACAGATGCAAAAATAGGATAAGCAGAAAGAATGTAAGAAATAATGTGAAGTTAAAATAAAGACATGCCTAATTAAACAGCCAGCCCTATGCAATTCCTACACACAGAAATGCACATACGGTAGATATATTTGTTTCAGATTGTGACCCCTTTGAGTTGCCATGTTAGACTCAAGAATCTTATCCAGCCTCTTTCTTGGACCTGGTCATGTTTCAACTGCTTACAAAATCTAAACATGCAGCAAGTGCCAGGCCTGTGCACCAAAATTGGCTCTTATTTTGTACTCTTGGCCAAGCTTTTCCACCTGAACGTGACCAAGGCTGTAAAAAAAGGGCTTGCAGCCATGTTTTTTTGCGTCTCCTGCATTCACATACCCCTGCACAGCCTACATATGCAAATTTCCCAAGTGCCTATTACAATTCGCTGAAAAGACTTGATTATGCATACTGCCCCTTCACCCTCCACACTGTATTGCGATCCCATCACCATTTCATCCTTCTTTTCAAAGCCGTGAAAACCACCGGAGCGGGAAGGATGGGCAGGAGGGGCTGGGCAGAGGTAAGTACCACTAGGAGACCTGACCCGCACTAATGTTGGGGAGGAGTTTCCTGCATTTGCATACCCCTGCCCAGCCTACATAAACAGAGTGGCACCGAATCCTGGAGGTGGGTCGGCGACAGGAATGTAGTTACCAATAGAAACATGAGGTGGACATCACCAGAGCAAGCACTTACCAGAAGAAAACCCTTTGGTTGAAGTATCCAACGTCTGGCCGGGAACAGTGCTGGACATTTTCCGGACTGCCGAGCACAGGGTCACTGTGCCATGGGCTGTTTTGCTCTGGAGAACATCTTTCAGGTAACACTAGGTGAAGGTGGAAATTTCCAGCAAGCCGCCTGGCAGATTTGAGCTAGAGAAACTCCTCTGAAGTACAACCAGGATGCAGAGGCAGCCCAAACGTTACAGGCCCTGATGTGAGATCAGGTCATCTCATCATGTTGTGCCGGCCAGTCTCAGCTTTCTAAGACAATGGCCAAGACCGTCCATCGGGCAATAGGGTCCTTTGACACCGGGTGAAAAGGGTTTCATTGTGGTGACGAAGAGCTGGGAATTAAATTTTCGGCGATGCATGAGAGTCCGAACTGGACACCAACTCTTGTCAGAGTTGTCTCCTGAAAGTGAGGCTATGTCAGGAATGAATATGTCTCGAGACCAGAAGGTAAGCATCTGGTTTTTCATCAGGAACCTGATGGTTGGGACAAGATGAACCCGCGTGGCTCCTAGCATGTAGCTTGGTACCTCGTCTCGATGCAACAACCATGGGAGGGAGTGCAAGCCTGATGCCGAGATGCGTGTCAGACACATCATCAGCCAGTGGTTTGAAAAGGTGGGGACTGGCAAGAACTTGAGGAAAGCTTCCGAAGTCCCATGATAAGATGAGGCATTTGAAGTGAGGATGCCTGACAAACATCCCTTGAAGGAGATATAGGATACCAGCATTGTCAGAAAGAGTCAAGCCATTGCTGAAGCGTGAGTGGTCAGCCGGCAAGGCGGATGGCAGTAACCTGAAGGCCTGAGTGAAAACAGATACCTGAGAAAGCCTTCGACAGAGCTCACAGGAGCTTCAGCTGGAGAAACATCGTGATCATCGCATCCTCTAGTAAAATGTAGTTGGCTGATGTAAATCTTATGAGTGGCCCCTGGGCTGAACTAAACGCAGCATCTGCAGAAGAACCCAACACCCTGAAAGGTCATTGGACAATGTCCAGCATGTCAGGTGAAGACTCTCTGGTGGTGGGTGAAGGATCTCTGACTTAAGCTGACAGAAAATGTCCTCTCTGACCGGAAGGACCAGCAGCCGTCGTACCAGGAGTCTCGTCCATCTTTGAAACCACAGTTGGCGAGGCCAGAGTGGGGCTAGGAGGAATCCAACACAGCTCTGTTCTATCTTGGACAGGACCCACGGGATGAGGGATATTGGGGGAAAGACGTATGCCAGAGGGCCCAACCAGTCGATCTGTAGGGTGTCTGTCGCCCACGCCCCTGGGTGAGGGAACCTGAAGCAGATCATTGGAAGGTGGGCATTGTCGGTGAGAACAAAGAGGTCAAATAAGGATGCTGAATCTCTGCGAAAATCTGGCTGACAACATTCGGATAAAGAGTCCACTCTGTCGGTCAGACAGCACCTTAGAGAGTGCGTCTACTGTGCTGTTGCTGGTTTCCGCTTTGTGGACAGCTTGAAGGCTGATCCCCTGATCAATCATCCACATAAAGAGCTGCCACGCAAGTGCGCAGGAGTTGAGGAGGGCGAGTGCTGCCCTGACGACTGATGTATGCCACTGTCGTTGAGGCATCGCTCTGGACTCGAGCAGAACAGCCTACTAAGTGCTGTCAGAAGTGACGAAGAACATTGAACACCACTAGGAGTTCTAACACATTGATGTTTGCCCCAAGAGACAGTGTCGTAGACCCCATATAAAATGCATATAAAATGGTGACATTGACAGTAAACTTGCAGAGTACACCACTTCGTTTCACTTGCGTTAGCCGCAGTCGAAGGGCAACCATGGCAAGCCATAAACAAAAGCGGGTGCTGACAGTAGGCACACTTTTGCCAGACCCTGTAACCTTCATGGTATTAACACTTTGGACACACCCACTACAAAGAAACTCGTGTCTGGATCTCGTATGTTCGGTCCCCATAGAATGTGCATGCAATCAGTTTGTGTATCCACGCATGCGCAATAGTGACATAATGGTCGTCGGCCTGAAAAATTATTCTAGCAGAAGACGCCTATCAGTGGTGACACATGTGAGGGATTTGTACTGCCCTTTAATTCCCTTGAAGACCTCGTGTGTGAATAAATCGCAAGGAGTGTATCAAATGGTGATATTTAATAGCTTCTAGTAAGAAAGATCACCGGTAAGTAATCAAAGAAAGTGGAAATATCAATTTTTATGACAAAGTTTAATTATGAAAAATTATCGTTTCTTTACCAAACTTTGTGTATAATTTTCACAATTTTGCCGAGTTTACCTTCAAATAACTATGATGCCACGTGAAAGACTAGTAACTCTTATGTACAAAAAAGGTTATTATGTCTAGGAAGAAAACCACTTTTGCAATTCACTTCGTTTTCATTGGGACCCATTTTCGTCATTTGCTGTGTTTTTCACCTTACTTAGTGCCCAATTTTCACACTTTTGTCGAACTCCCCTGAGATCATTGGTGATACTGTCTGGAAGACTGATAATTTTTTGGTATCTATCAGCTCATTTTTTTCAAGATCGAGAGCCACTTGTCTAAAATGCAGTTCGTTTTTCATGCGGATTCAAATTTCCGCTCTGAGTTTGGCATCGGTCAAAATGTCTGGATTATGGGCATGGTGCATACGTACACATACCTGGATACAAGTGCATTTGGGTACAAGTTGACCTACTGCATTGCAAGAATACACGTCTAATTGCTCAACTAGAAGGCACAAACAAAAACTTTCCATTTTCATCCATACGGTTTCCTTCGTATAAGATACTTTCTCACTTGAACTTGAACCCCGCAGAAGACGATTAGTGTGCACGCTTCTTATGTGCAGGTGATCCAGCCGCTGAACCAGAAGGAAGAACCTGAAGACCCGTGGCATCAGCAGAATGTCCAAAATGCACATCGTAGTAGGCTGAAGCAGGCTGAGCTGCCGGGGAAGTGTGACGGAAGCACCCTGGTGATGCTTGAACGAAGTATGTGCTTGCTCCACGGGCGTAGGGTCTGACGAAAGGAGCCTGAGAACATAGATCATGTCATGCTCAAGAAGGCAGAGGCAGCCCTAGAGTTGGGTCAAGCTACAAATAGAGTCAATGTCATCATCCTCAGAAGATAGAGGGTGAAGGCCCACAGAGGGGAGAGCCGAACCATGTTCAGAGTGCTGAGGGTTACCACGATCCAGGACTTGATGCGGAGCCAGGTCCCATTGGGGAGGCGGTTCTGGCTGGACGACAGAAACCTCTTCGGCCTCCAAGAACGCCCCTTGCCAGGGAGGAGGGATGGCCGAGAGGGGGTCTAGGTCGGGTGCCGTCACCGCTGGCTGAGACTTAGAGTCTATCTTGCGGGAGAGAGAGGTTAATGCCTCCAAGAGGGTGAATCTGGATTAGAGTGGCATTTCTTCTTAGCCTTGGAAGAGGAAGTTGAAGAAGATGACTTGGCCTTGTGCTTCTTAGACTTTACCAGTGCGGGTATGCCAAAGGCCGGGACGGTTGGAGGAACAGCCAGGTGGTGGTCCCCCAAATGGTTGGTCCTGTCCTGCGAGGAGCGCATCCCAGGTCAGGATCGGTGGCCTCATGACCGTAGTCCATTGGCAGATGGGAGATGCAGATGGGGTGCGGACAAAAGCCCCAGTGATGTAGAAGTCCAAAGGGGGCTGAGCACCATGCTGAATTGCAGACTCGACCATGGCAGAAGCAGTGGAGCATGGCAAACCCACTGTGGAACCTGTTGCCGGCACAGAGGGAGTTAACTGGCCCAGCAGTTAACTGGGGCAGACGGCGGACTGTCGCCCCATGAGCCCCGCTGGGCTAGGGTTAGGGTCAGTAGGGTAGCCTGGGGATGTGGTAGGTTGCAATGCCTGGTACCCGCAGCATAGAGAAGGAACCACTCATCATTCTCTGGTTACTATGATCAAGAGTAGTGTTGCGGCATAGCACGCTCAACCTGAAGATGTGTAGAGTGGATGTCCATGACCAAGGGTAGTGTTGTGGCCCAGCATGCTCAGCCCGGTCGGAAGGTGTAGAGAGCAGTCATCAGTGATCAACGGCAGTGTTGCGGCATTGCATGCTCAGCCCAATCAATTCCGGTAGTGGTCATCAGTGATCAGAGTATTGTTGTGGCGTAGCACGCTCAACCCGAGCATGTACATGTAGATAAAGGTCCAGGCTAGTGTTATGGCATAGCACGCTCAACCTCAGGCCTGTTCACTCCACTGGGTCTCTCCCCGTTGAAGCCGTTAATTGGGTAACGCAAACTGCACCACAAAGGAGCAGGGTAGCCCGCCAAGCCCCACTCCATGGTCAGACCCATAATGTATTTTGCCATTATTATTCAAATGCACGCACCACATACAGAACAAAGGGCTGCCCAGTCCTGTTCAATGGCCATACACAACACACCAGTGTTGTAGTACTCGTACTCGGTACTCGTACTCGAGTACTACTCGAGTACCGTTTTCAGAGTACTTGCACTCGTACTTGTACTTGGGTGTCCAAGTACTCGTACTCAAACTACAGTTCTTGTACTCGGGCTACAAAATACTCCAAACTCGACATCCAAAAATTGTACTCGAGCATCAAAGTACTCATACTCGATTAACAGTACTCGATAAAAAAAATCCTTTAAGTTAACTTACCACGCACGGCCGTTAAGATAAAGTACAAAAAATATCTACTCCAATGACCCGATATTCGATACAGTTCTGACAACGAGAAGGCCGAAAGTGGGACCATTAAGGCATACGACCCATTCGCCGTCTGTGCGCGTACTTAACCAATCTCGTACGCAATTTATAATGCGGTACTCCATCAGAATGGTTCCGCGATTTACTTGGGCATTGGTAGTCTGGTTCCTGGACCCGAAAATTTGAACAATGAACCCAGCATACAGAAAATCACAGGCATGTGAATAATTGAGTCTGGAAAATAGACTTCGCCGCGCCCTGCACATTGTGTCAACGGCTGCAACGCACGTGTAGTGACCGTGACATTGCTAGCCAGATCACTTGTTCTTGTAGCCAAGCCATCTGCATTCGGTGTTTCTTTTACACAGTGGCAGGTCTTAGAGTCTCTAAATTAAGATAAAAACTACTTTTGAATTAGAAGTACTTGTACTCGTACTCGGAATTAGAAGTACTTGTACTTGTACTCGGAAGTGCAAGTACTTGTACTCGGAAACCAGTACTTGTACTCGGCTGGCAAAGTACTCGCCCTGTCTTTGTACTCGGAAGTCAAAGTACTCGGCAGTACTTAGTACTCGGAAAAAAGTACTCGACTATAACACTGAAACACACTATGGAAGGTCACACCCAAACCTGTAGATAATGCACAGAAAAAGGGGGCAGAAAAGAACAACAAAATATACAAAATACAAGATACGAAATACGAGAATAACCATTCTTACGGATAGATAAGAAATCACTCTTTATTCATAAATAGAAATCAAGTCAATTCACAAACGCGAAAGGTACAGAACTCGAAACTCCAAAAAATGCCATAAAAGACACATCCGTAAACGATAGGCACTGAGAAAAGAAAGCCGAACATGATGGTAGGACCGCAGTGTATTGTGGAGGGTCAAGGGACAGAATGCATAATCAAGTCTTGTCAGCAAATTGTAACAGGCACATGGGAAATTTGCATATGTAGGCTGTGCAGGGGTATGTGAATGCAGGAGATGCAAATAAACATCCCCAGGACAAAGGGTGTGATGGCTGCAAGCTGTTTTTTTACAGCCTTGGTCACGTTCAAGTGGAAAAGCTTGGCCAAGAGTAGAAAATAAGAGCCGATTTTGGTGCACGGGCCTGGCACTTGCTGCATGTTTAGATTTTGTAAGCAGTTGAAACATGACCAGGTCCAAGGAAGAGGCTCGATAAGATTCTTGAGTCTAACATGGCAACTCAAAGGGGTCACAATCTGAAACAAATATATCTTCCATATGTGCATTTCTGTGTGTAGGAATTGCATAGGGCTGGCTGTTTAATAAGGCAAGTCTTTATTTTAACTTGACATAATTTCTTATATTCTTTCTGCTTATCCTATTTTTGTATCTGTTGTCTGTCGGCACAAATATGTCTTTACCTTTGATGATCTGTGATTGTTTGTTTATATTAAAGAGGGCTTCCTTGATATTTGAATAACTTTCCAATTTATATTCCTTTTCAACGAATAATTTATTGATGCTCTATTCAGCTTTGTCTGAATATTCACTATTCAGTGATCTCCTTTGACTTCCACTCCATTCTATGAGTGAAACAAAATTGTTTATTAATAATGGGAGGAGGGAATATGGTGGGGGGCTAAAAACTTTGGGAATTTGAATAACCTTTTATGGACTTTCTGAGGGGTGATGCTAAAGGTTTGGGGTTTTTCATACACTTTTAGAAGGGAAGTAATAAGATGCTGAAACCCCCTTTTCTGCTTTTTTTAAGTTCCTTTTTAGAGGGCTCTGAGTTTGTCTCCCTTGGTCCATCAGTGCTGTCAACGACAATTGTTGTGTAAAGAAATGGGGGCTGAGGAAGGGTTAATTTGACAGGTGCTGGGAAAAATCACTCACCTGCAAAGTTATCATTGCACACGCAGGTATATCCAGCTTCTTTCTGAATGCACTGCCCATTGCTACCACAAGGATTAGAGTAGCAATAGTTGATCTCTGTTGTGCAATAGTTGCCTGTGAATCCTGGTGGGCACTCACACCTGTAGAGAGTCTCTGGATGGATAGAACGAAAGATGACGGTCTGGGTCGCAATGAAGCCCGATGAACTCCAGAAGGAGAGCGGGGAGAGACACCGGTAGTGCATGTTCTCACTACTGCAGACCTCGTAAAGGCAGAGGTTGTCACCAAAGGGCAACACCTTCACCAAGGAAACTTCGGAGAGGATAGACCGCATCAGGTAGACTCGCTCCTGGAGGTACTGGGAAGTGAAGAAGGTGCCGTCTTGGTGCTGGGCAGCAAAGGAGACATCAAGGATGGGTGGGTCACTCACAATGTCATGGTTCTTGATGCTGAAAACATACACCAGGTTGCGTTGTGTGGGGATGATGTTGGATAGGGCATCGATGAAACGATTGATCTTTGCAGAGAGGAATTCCTGGGAGTTTGTGTCCTCCAGCTGGACAGTGATACTGCTCATTAGCATGTTATCAGTGACCATTGTTAGACGGAAGGTGCACTGTGCCGACACAACATTCAGGCCATCTGAAATGACAATGCAAAACAAAAAGCAGGAAGTTAACAATCTGATCTAAAGCCCTCAGTGCATTTTCATGCTGAGTGCATATAGAAAACTAAAGTGAAATGGCATTCAATTTTTGGATACCAAGGTTTTTCCTCCCTTCAAACAAGAGGTTCAAGAGGTAAGAACTAGAATGACACCAGTGTGGCCTGATACCAGACTTGTGACCAGGAAACTCCAGTTTAAGATTTGAAGGTTTCATGGTGAAAAACTATATGAGTAAAACGATTGCGGTTACACTATGGATAAATCTCTTTCTTGAGTACGTGTGGTTCTGAGAAGAACCGGGGAATAACTCGACGTTTCGAACAGTGTACTCTGTCAGTCTTCAGGAAACTTCAGGAGACTGCAGGATTCTGACTGGGAGTGGAGCTTATATGGTGTAGAGAGGGATCCAGATGTAGGGATTAGTTCGGTGAAGCGTTGAGGCGGGAACGGTGAAGGCAGGAACAATGGATGCTGCGCCGGATCCTGGTACTGCATGACCTGAGTGTGTGCTTAGAGTGAACGGCTGGGTGCCAAGAGTAGAGAAGACCCATAGGCTAAGGAAGGAACCTAACTGGGGAGTCCTTGGGTATGGGATGCCCATTGGACTGGGATGTGAGGATGGGGCACCAGATATCGCTGATGCTGAAGCCGAAGTCTTGGGGAACTGTGTCATGCTTGATGATTTCTATGGCTTCCAAGATGCGGTGGGGATACCATAGTTCGATGCTGGTGATGAGTCCAGTTTGGCTACAGTTGATCTGATGGTCTTCAGTGTGGGAGTGCTTGATTATTGACGACTTTTCAAGCTCTCCCTTCCTGCCATGAGCTTTGTGCTCATTGATTCGGGTAGGGAGGTCCCTGCCCATCTCGCCAATATACACTTTGCCACATTGGCAAGGAATTCTGTACACCCCTGATCTGCGCTGGGGGTCCTGCCGGTCTTGTGCGAGGTGAGCAGGTTGTGTAACTGCAGTGGGGCTGTGTGGAAAACTTGAATACCATGCTTGTGGAGAATGCGCTGGATATGGTGGGAAGTTCTGCCTAAGTAGGGGAGGGTGATGGAACTAGCGGCCCTCTAACTAGTTGGCTTTGGGTATAGGAGACCCTTTGGCCGGGGGGTGGATCTGGGATCTTGGGTCTTGATTTGGATTGGCTTGTATCCGTTACGTTGCAGTGCTGCGGTGATGTGGTGGAGTTCTTGGCCGAGGAATTCTTTGTCGCAGATGTTGTATGCCCTGCGGACAAGGGCCCGATTGACAGACAACTTGATCTTGGGGTGGTGGAAGGACGTGCTGTGGAGGTATCTGTCCATGTGGGTGGGCTTGCGGTAGACCGTGCGGGCTAGGCTGCCGTCCTCCTTTCTGCTCACCTCAACATCAAGAAATGAAATGTTGCCATTACGTTCTTGTTCCATGGTGAACCGGATGTTGCTATGAAGCGCGTTGAGGTGTTCCAGAAAGAGTTGGAGGTTGTCCTGCCCATGCTGCCAGATGACGAAAGTGTCGTCCACATATTAGAGCCAAACTTTGGGTCTGTGGTCTGATGCGTTGATGGCAAGTTGCTCAAGCTCCTCCATGAACATGTCCGCCAGAACTCCAATTTCTTAAAGTAAATCACAGTTTACTGCTGGTGTCATATCCAATTGAGATCATTACAAAAATTGGTATTTGACACCAAGAAGAATGATTATAACTGCATTGCCTTATTTTTTGAAAAAAACCCTTCCAAAATTATGTGACATGAGAGAAAAATCATGCATTAGCCTCTGGGTTCCAGAGAACAATACCTCAAAGTGTGACAAAATTGTAATTAATGACAAACACATGTGGACTGGGAGTCTGTGACAGGTGACAAGCATTATGAAGTGACTAGGCCCCAACTGGACTTGGCAATGTAACAGGCAGATGACGGTATGGAACATTAATAGAGGGTAGGCTATACGCAAACGGATGCTGTCACAGTTGACTACATGTGCACCTAAATAGTCACTACACTAGTGGGGTGGTGGGGGTATACTGTAAGAAGAGTTAGCTAACAAGTTTCAAGTAATCTTCTGTACTGTTAACAACACTGAGCCGTAGCCCACAAAACATTCCTGGACTTCTCTTTCACGATAGGGTTTACATTAGTGGCACTTCCACAATTGGCATCCAGTGCACGTACCATGCAGCCAAGGTTTTTGTTCCTCTGGCAAAGTTCAGTGTTGGCACAATGAAAAGACCCAACCCCGTCCAAGACTGCTTGACCCTTTTTGAGTAGAGGGGTTTCATTTTACCCTCCAATTGATAATCCAAATTATGGAGGTGTACAGATTTGTCTGTGCTTACATTGTGGTCTTAAGCCATATATTCCAACACATTTTGCTTTGGTAGATATACATAACATTGGTGGCTGCAGACCGTTCAGACTTCTCTTGTTTAAGTCCAACTCCCACTAAATGTGGTGCAGAGGTGTAATTATCCAAAGGAGGGGACTGCTAGATGGGGGTGAAATACAACGAGGACCTCAATTTGCCCTGGTACTGCCATAGTAGCCATGAAGGCTGGTATGAAACCCAAAAATGGACTGGCCAACGGAGCTCTAGCAAGCCTGATCTACCAGGGCTCCGTCATCAGTGGTGCAGCCATCTGCTGGCCCTCGTCATGGTCATCTTGCTCTTGCTTGCCCCTTGGACAACTGACAGGAGGCAAAGCAGTGCGAGTGTGGACTGCGCACCCCCATTGTTACCACCATCCAAAAACAAATCCTCATCACGGTATTCCCAATCCAATAGTTTTGTGGAACGTGCTCTACAGACGATCAAGATAGTCATCCAGAGATGCCAGAAATCAAAGGAAACTTTGACAAGGCACTCCTAAACCTGAGGGCTACTTCGATTGATGCCAAATTGCCATCTCCTGCCGAGATAATGTTTGCCAGACCACCCCGTACAAATTTGCCAAGCTGCAACCCATACTTACAAGCATGATACAAAGACATCAACAAAACCAATGACCAGAGGCGTGACCGAATGAAAGCAGATCATGACAGGAGAAGCTTAGCCAATGAGCTCCCACCTCTTCATGTTGGGCAGAAGGTCTGCATTCTAAACCACAATTCTCAAGCTTGGCTACCAGGTGAAGTCCCAACAGTTCGTAAAGAGCCAAGGTCGTACGAGGTTGCCACCCCAAACGGCAACATCCTGAGGCATAATCGATTACACATCAGAGAGATGACGGGCCCACAATGCTCTACTACTCCCACACGTTTCAGCTTCGTGGACACAGGGAAACCCCAAAACCCCATCAAGAAGGAACAAAAACCCCCACCCTAGGCTCCAAATCAGCTGAGGAAATCAATACTACTTGACCGGCTACCACCAGATCAGGAAGGGTGTCCGAAAGCCTATTCAGTACACCACAAATAAAGGTCCTGTTACACCATCCGGCCAACTCAAGTCTTTTTTTAACACTACAATCTTGCATACTAACATTAATTTCTTGTCCGAGTTGTAGAATACAAACCAGTGATTACCTACATGTATATACCATACATCTGAGAAAGCCAACCTCAAGGATTTTATGAGCACAAGAGTTTTTTAACCAGAAACTGTCTAGATATACTGTAGTATAGTAGATTAGTGACCCGTTCTTTCGATTCACTGTTGTGGTGTTTTAAAAATTGTCGACGTTTAAACCTTGTTGATGTTTGAAATAATCTCGGAAGTTCAAATTATGCCTACCAGAATTGCAAACATCTGAAACCGGACCCAGTTCAATGCAAGTTCACATTTTATTCATCCCTTTACCTGGATAATCGCAAGAATGATATGGAAATTTTTGATGAGAGTTGTCAACCATGTAAATCTTCTACATAAATTGTACTTTCAAAAGGAGGGGGATGTTGTAATATAAGCCAGCAACTATACTGTACACTGCGCACTAACACACTGCGCATGAGGTGGCCACTCTCCTATACTATCATGGCTGAATAAACACTCCACTTGGAGTGTCTGGGAACTTTATCAAAGTTTGTCATGCTATCACTTCACACATTGCCCCAAATCTGTGGATCACTTATAGGCGAGGAAATAGATCTGGGAACAGAGCTGGAGAGCCTTGTCATCGTCACATCAGCACACATACAGCCATAAGCAGACTTCTCTGATTTATTAAGTCAGGAAATGGATACCCTGCTCCCCTTATTCCAAGGATATTTCCAACCTTATGCAACCCACATGGAGCCATCTGTGGTATGCAATGATGGAGGTCATAATGTTTACCCCATTTGCCAACCCAATTCATTGTTTTAAGGGAACTGTCCCACAAACCTGACCGAATATTTTTAGAGACAGAATGTCAGTTTCAGTTGTTTGGGAGGTTAATCAATTTGGAGTTTGCAGGTTGTTGGGACCCGGAAGAACATCTGCTAATTCTGCTAATTTATAGAGTTGCACAATGAACCTTCAAAGATTTGACTAATGGGGAAGTTTACATGCAAATCAAACTTTGAGGAGGGCATTGTAAAACTTGTGCATGACTAATCATATTCCTGATGGAAATGTCCATCAAGAGACTCCAATTAAAGGGCATTAAAGGGCCCATGCCAGGGTCAGAATTCAGTCTGCACCCAAATCACTCAGGAGACCACTGGTCAACAGCCAGACACTCTCAAGTCGACACAGTGGCCATACAGGCCCAATTGGCATCTATGTCAAAGTAGTCCATCGACCCATCAAATGAGTCTATCGACCCTTAACATTAGTCTGTCGACTCAATGATTGTTGGTTCATAAGTCCATCAGTCTATTTGACAGTCTGTCAATACTATTTTTTAAGGAGTTGTCTAGTAAATCGTCAGTTGCAGAACAAACAACAGGGACAGTGTTGTCATCTATTAATTAGTCGTATATTAGAGAACTTTGCGTTTGTGGTACAGAAACCTATCCAGAAGCCTACCAGATAATACGACAATAAAAGTAATAATTCTGCCATCCTTATGCCGGTGAAAGGATAACCGGCATGTTATGATTTACTTTTCCACTGCACCTCCTATTGGGGCCATTTTGCCAATCACTGGTATCACTTTTGTTCCAACCTGACTTTTGAATTACAGCAAGTAAATACTGCTTCTTCTAATGCAACCAAATTTTAAATTCAAGAGGGCACAATAATGTGGTTGATCAATTCCTTGCACCTGGAACATTCTGACAATAGTTGCAGTAATTTACCAACAGAATCCTTCTGCTTTTGTTTACATTTCTCAGATTTATCTAAGAACTCACCTGATACTTGTATCCACATCTCCATTCTCTGTGGGATATCAATATTCCTCAGACTGGGATTGAGTCTGATGCCCCCTGTGGTGCCATTCAGGATTAGGTGGTTATTTGCATTCCCCCTCATGATCAGGTACTGGAGGGTGTCTGACACATCCTGGTCATGAGCAGGAACCTGTCCAATGTCACCTTCTGGGAAGAATCCCTCATAGTAGTTGAAGAAGATTTCAAAGTCTTCTAGGATGGGACTGTTGTCGTTCTGGTCCTCAACATGGATGTTGACTGTAGCCAACCTGAAGAAGGGTGTTGAAGTGGCCTTGACGGTTACTTGGTACTCATTCCTGGCTTCATAGTCCAGCTCAATCAGGGTTGTCAGTTCCCCTGATCGACTGTCAATCTCAAAGAAGTCCAGGTCACCTGCAATCAGGGAGTAATGGATGATTGCGTTGTAGCCCTCATCCGGGTCATTCGCAATGATGGTGGAGACCAGTTCACCAGGGTTACGGTTCTCTGCGATGTACACATCCATCTCCTCCTGAAGAAACTCAGGTGGGTTGTCATTCTCATCACGCAGCCTGACAGTGATCTGCACAGTTTCGCGGTGAGTGGGACGGCCCCCGTCCACAGCAAAGGCAACTAAGTTGTACTCTGCTTTGGCCTCGCGATCGAGACAGACTGCTGTACGGATGATGCCTGAGGTTTCATCAATGACAAAAGCTCCATTGCCATCATTACCATTATTGAACGTGTAGGAAATCTGACTGTTAGTACCTGCATATGCAGAAATCAAGAACAAATATTAAGATATTTTTATAATGAAAATATGTATAAAATTGAGGATATGAAGACAAGTGAAAATGAATAGGACACGTTCATGTCTGTTTTTTAGTTCCAAGTAAAATTATGCTTGCAAATGTAAAGGAACAAATTGAGAGGAGCAAGGATACCAAGAGGAACCAAAGTTTATCCAGTATTTCACAGTGGATCATATCAGTTCTGAAATTTATATTAAAAAGTTGTTACAATACTAAGTGACTGCCAGACACAGAATTATTCCATTCTTTTCAATCTATAGGTAACCCTAATGAATAAAAAAAATTAACAGGATGTTGTGTTTGTACGTTGGGAGACTTTAGGCACAATAATACGAATGTGGAGAAGCTCTGAACATTCTGAGGCATATATTGCAGATATCACAACGGCATGGGCCCAATGCTAGCTTACATCATTATCCTAAAATACACATTAGACTGGCTGCATATAAATGAGACCGGTTGCATACACTACACAGGACAGGACATCTGTGAGAAGTCTGTGAGATCAAACAAACATGTTGATATTCAGCCCCAACACTCTCAGCAAGATATTAAAAGTGAAATTTTTTATTCAACGGGATGGGATTAGACTAGAGGATGTGTAAGCTACATGTAGCTACAATGAAATCTTGATACAACGAAACCCTTGCTTTTTGTTTTCACCTGGCCTTCCAGAACAAGCAGTAGGAATCTACATTGTAATTTGACAATTCTATGAGGACAGTCTGACCAGTACACACACAATGTAGGAAGGTTTTCCTCATAGGAAACAGGGCTATGCCTGTGGGCTGGATTTAGAATGGGCAGGGTTTAAATGGGCCACATAGTAAAAGGGTCATTTTACATCTATGTCCCCATTACAGGGTCAAACCTCGCAGGCGATTTCTTGGCTGTTTGTTATCAAGAAAGGATTGACAGCTACATGTAAGATGGATTGGCCCAACCAAGTCCACATATATATAATATAAAGTAAACCATTGTTAGCAGCATGCGTAATTGTATTTATACATGTACATGTTCCAGTAAAATTATACGTGAGGCCTACGCATAGGTCTCTCTCATTAAATGCTTACTTCCTACAGATTGCCATGTGCATTGGCATTTGTGACCCCCCACCCACAAATCAGGCTGAAGTCAGTATTTGTGATGTTGGACAATTCCTCACCTTCAACTTTTTTTACACTTCAAAGTGCTCCATGTTAAATCATAATTCTGTCTGCAGTTAGCTTCTTACGGGTAGTGATAGCTGTAAAACTCCTATGAAAATCTGAACAGAGGAAGTTCCACTATTTTAGGGTTATAAAGTTACCTACTTCAGCCTGGTTCTGGGATGGTGGGTCACATTTTTTACTTTAATTCACGTGACACCCATTGGCTATGCCATATCTCGAACAAATTTCAATCAGCATGTTTAGAACATTTTGCACACTGCGTGCACACGCCCCCATTACATATAAATCTAGTTGCTATTTTCCTACACAGGTGGCATCCAATGAGAGAGATCTACTCACTGTCATTTCAAGTTGAAATATAAAATAGATGTTAATGGTGAATAATGTATTATATTTAAATCATTTTCAACTTTATTTTCAATAAAACACACAAGTATATGTATGATTCAGATTTACATGTACACTTATTATGATGAATCCATCTGGAATCCAACACAATGTGTCTCCCACACCTTTCACAAATGTGACCCCTGCATGGTATGCCAATACTCCATCTTGAACCTTTATCTGAATCTAACTGATGTACACAAGCCTGCTTGTGAAGTGTGAGCCATTGTATGGCATGCTTTTTATTTGCATACCCTCCATACTTTGTATGCAATGAAGAATATCAGGAACTGGTGAGTGGGATGTGATAAACCTTTGTGCTTTGCTGGGGTATGTATTGTTCCCATCTGGACTGGAAATGCGTGACAACATGAAAGTATTTAAACACCACTGACTTGAGTGATCGAAACCCATGCAAAGTCCACTGGTGAATATTTTGCAGTGCATATACATGTTTGTACTTCATGGGATACTGTTCTCCAAAGGAACATAACAGAGAATGCAATACTACCTGTACATACAGTGTTATTCAAATGTTCGATCTAAAAAGCTAACACTTTCAAAATGCCAGGTTTTATCTTGCACCTTTCCAACAGAACAGTCTCTACTAACGCTCTACTAACAAGGTACTGTTTGACTTAAGTTGTAAGGAGATTTTAATTTCCTTTGACCTGCAGCACTTTTGCAGTCAATTTCTTCAATTGAATCACAAGCCGATGAAGTCTGGATATGGAAACAATTATTTCATACCGACTGCAATACAAAAGAAATGTTTTCAGTCTTGGCATATATACGTAATACATGTATGTGATGGCCTCTCTGCTGATGAGATGTATTTCTACCTGCATGTTTTGATCAATCTCTTTGTAACCAAGAAAAAATGGCTCTACGGGAGAGAATCCTGGTTCACTATGAATAATCATGCAATTTATTCTTCAGAGCTGGGACACTCTAACACTCAACAGTAAATAACATACATGAACCTTTGCTAGTAAGTTTAGTCTAACACATGTAAAACAAAATCAAACTTATTTCTAACATACTTAGGACTTAATAACTTCACATAAAGTTGCCCCCATCATGTAGGCACTGTCGATATCATATTTTGGCTGATACTGATGTATCAGATTTTTATATTGTGGCACCGTGCCCAACCTACGAAGGCGAAGGCGCCCTCCTCCTCGAGGCGCGGCACGTCAGACAGCACGCCAGAGAGTCCCTGAGCGGCTAGGGACGAGTCTGTTGGGACCGAAGTATACCATCCCCCAAGGAAGTTGGTCCTCATCGAGATGATGTGATCTTCCCACAGGTGTTTTTGATAAAAAGAATTCACACGCATGTAAATTTACTTGAGTTTCAAATATTCCGATACAAAAGTTGAATACTAACCTTCATCGGCATCTTCAGCTTCAATCTGTATGACCAGGGACTGGGGACTTACACTCTCACTAATCTCAGTGGAGTAAGCACTCTCTGTGAAGACTGGGGGGTTGTCATTGATATCTGTGAGGAAGATTTCCACTTCAGTCGTGTCTATCTGTGGCTCTAATCCATGATCTGATGCCGTCACATGAATGGTGTAACTTGATGTAGTCTCACGGTCCAGTTCGGTTCGGGTTTTGATCTCGCCACTGTCTGGGTCAATTTCAAAGCTTGGTATGCTATCCATAGAGTATGTGATACGCGCATTCTCACCAACATCACCATCCGTAGCATGAACTTGGACAACAACGTACCCAACAGCAACATTTTCAGCTACTTCTGCTCTATATGGTGACTGATCAAATACTAGTCTATAGGTGTTGGCATCAGTGACATTTATGTACACCAGACACATGCTCGATTGTTCATTATTTGATGCAGTTACTGTCAGCACAAAGTGTGGTTCCTGCTTGTAGTCTAAGGGTAGGGCGACCGTAATCATTCCACGATTATTCTGGCTGATGATATTGAAACGGTTCCTTGTGTTGCCAGCTGTAATTTGGTATGAAACACTGTTTCCTACATCAGGATCATAAGCAGAGACAGTCACCACAGTCAATCCTGGAGAAGCATCCTCATCAACACGACCGTAATACTCACTCTGAGTAAAAACTGGGGGATTGTCATTGACATCAGTAATGCGCACAGATACCTCAGTTGTTGCTGTTTTTGGCGGGTCACCTTGATCACTCGCAACAACGGTAAACTCATACAGTGGGGACGTTTCTCTGTCAAGCAATGAGGATGTTGTTATCTGCCCTGTGTCTGTATTGATAGTGAATGGAAGTGCAGTATCAGGATCTTGAATGCTGTAGGTAATGCGTGCAAACTCGCCTGAGTCACCATCAAAGGCATTCAGAGTGATAACAGATGAATCAATGCGAGCATCTTCTCTAATCGATGTTTGATACAGGGTCGTTGGGAAGCGTGGGGAGTTGTCATTGACATCTAAAATATTCACTATGACACATGTTGAATTGGATCGCGCTGAGCGTCCACTGTCCTGAGCATGCACGACCAACTGGTAAGATGGTGTATTCTCGTAATCAAGAGCTGAAGTCAGCAGAATTTCTCCATTGTATGGGTCAATCACAAAGTGACCTTGTCCTCCGACCATACTGTAACGAATGTCAGCATTAGATCCAGCGTCCCTGTCTGTGGCTGTTATGGTCTCAATAATGACATTTCGAGGGGAATCTTCAGGAATGGTGACCTCAAAGGTGCGCTTTGAGAACTGTGGGTAGTTGTCATTCTCATCCAAGACAGTGATTAAAACTCGGGCAGTTGTGTTCAGCGGACCAGGATTTGTTCCAAGATCTTGGGCCAGGACAATCAATTCATAGCTGGAGACGACCTCCCGGTCCAGCCTTGCACGGGTGGTAATGATTCCTGAACGCGAGTTGATATGGAATGCATCATTAGGAGGTTCTGGGTTAATGATGCTATAACGAACCACTGCATTAAAATTAGAATCACCATCACTTGCATGTAACTCATACAAGGTTGTACCTGCAGGCTCATTTTCCCCAATTTCGATGTGGTACTCGGTCAGTTCAAACTCAGGCCGGTGGTCATTCAAATCTTCCACCATAATCTGCAGAAAAGCTGACGTAGACCGCTGTGGTGATCCATGGTCGGTGGCAGTGACCTCAAATAAATGTTCTTCGATACTTTCCCTATCAAGCCTTTGAGTTGTTGTGATGATACCACTATCTGGGTCGATACTGAACATGTTCTGACTTCTGGCATCACGCTCTGCAAGCATTGAATAAGTCAGCCGGCCTGCCTCCCCACTATCAGTGTCCGAGGCAGTGATAGTCATGACGATATATCCAACTGGTTGCTCCTCGGGAATATTGGCAATGTACATTCCTTGAGGGAAGTTTGGACTGCGATTACGGCGNTGCCTGTTGTTGAGCTTTTGTGGCACTAATGTCAGGCTCAGGGACTTCTGCAGCCGCAACTCTGGGAAACAAGCTTGTTCCAACAACTCGAAGATCAAGTTGTACATGAATCCGTACTCCAACGACAGGATTATGGTGTAGATGGTGGTAGTAATGCATGCACAGTGGTGCAAACTCTACCAAAACTGATAAATGTTTGTCGTCTGGCCTGTGCATGCATAAGGAAGTCTCTGGAGAAATAACATCCCCAGTGTTTTGATTCATCGACAACATATGCTCTGACTTATGTTTGTTCAGAGTGTAATTCACCCGACAGTGAGAAGCAGAACTCGGCAGGAAGTCGTTCATTGAGAGTATTACTTCCTGTGAATTCCAGCATGGGCCAGTGGGGTAGTCCATTACAATAAACTGCTTATCATAATCTGGAACTGGTTTGTGACTGGCATGATCTCGTCCTTTGAAATGATCTTTGCGATATTCCTTTTTGGCATGTTTCAGTTTACAATGTCCACCGTGGATGTGAACCGCAACCGGTACCTGGACATAAATGTCTGATGGGCCATTGTCCAGAGCCGACGAACTAATCCTGCTTGTCCTCGCTTCAATGTACAAAAAGAATGGATTTTCGTTCAAAGCTGTGCAGTTGATGTCTCTGTGCAGAGTCAGGACTCCAGTGTTTTCGTTGATTCTAACAAGGTGACTCGCTTGCTTTGACTTTGAAACGGGGGATATGCCGTAAAGCCAACGCTGCCCGCTGCTAGGGAGACTCGAGTTGAATATCGGCGTTCCTGGCAATGTCATGTGGGAAATGTGTGCGTTAAAAGTGGCCCCGAGACACCCAGGAAAAATGGCAAATACAAAATACCACATCAAAACAAGATGTGCCATCGTCCATTAGTTTAATTAACCCAGGGTTACACCAGTGTGTATAACTCGAACCATTCAGGATTCGTTCAGATTACACGAAGCCTGCCGTACGTGTGTCGTAACAAACGCGGACAAACTATATAAGCACACCGGGCGACAAAGTTAAAAGTTTTACCGTCAAATATCTACAAGACTTCAGACTAGTTTCGACAAATCCAGAAGTACAGCTCCAGAAGTAGAACTTTTATGTCGTTGCGTCCACTTTTAGAAGCGTGTTCCTTCATACGATGAAAAAACATCATCCAATATCCACAGCAGAACTGTCCCGGTCGATGCTCTCGCTGTTGCTTAAAATTGCCATGTTTCAGCTGCACTTTGATCTTAATTGACTGACATTGTATGCACTGTTCGCCTCACCCTCTCAGATACACTGACAATTTTAAGTAGACAACGCATGCAAACATAAATATAATTGATTTACATTTGATATGTTAAATATAATATATTTTACACCTCATGTCCTTAAATTACTTATTCAGTTGTAAATATTATATCATATTTCCTGCTTTGCATACTGCAAGTTTAGTATATACATGTATATATGTCACATGTGGGAGTGACCAATCAAGTTGCTCAAAAGATGAACATCGTTTCCGCAAGATTGGGGTCTCCGCCTACCTGTCTCGGCTTGCCTCTGGACTTCATCAAAATGGCAAGGTTTTTACTAGCCAAAAGTCTACAACACAATATTATGTACGTAACTACCCGTACTTTTTTTTCGCAACTCGTCGGTTTCTCCGATCTCTTTGTTAAAAACGTCGTACAGTGTTTTTCCACTTCATAAGGTTTAGTAAACGATTCATTTTGTTGAGTAAGTTTTTGTTCTGACTGAGGCTATCCTTGGAACCCTGTGATCGCTCAGATTTGTTTTTACACAAAATGGTACCCCTGGCCAGCTGGCTCAGGAGTCACTTCACTTAAAAATTTGACAGTTCCTGGAGACTTTCATGCAATTGTTTAAAGTAAGTGTACGTGAAATGTTTCTTTTTTCCGATATATTTATTCGTGGGGGGTATTCTTCGACAAAAAAAACAAAGACTTCTTGAATATATAGTGCCCAGCTTTTATTTGTTACAGTTTTTGTGCCACATTGCTTGAGCTATAAGGGATCATTACATGCAATAAATTTCTGTATAGGATACTCATTCACAACGTGCGGGGTTTTGGCGGCCTTCATTGGTTTACTAGTAGCTTCTACGTCCAACTTTGTTAAGGGCGGATCGTAGGGACAAACGGAAACCATGTCTCGACTTATCAGGGCCTTTTTTTAGTCATTATAATGAGAGAAAACTGGGGGGTTCTATTCCATTTCTTCCCCACCAAAAGTGTGGAGAAATTAAAGAAACAGGAGCCCCACGTCTAAGAAAGGCCGAAAACTCACGGTGTTTGCACGGGCCAAATCACCATTTGCATGAACACAAATTCTCAACGTTACAGAGCATTATGTGGCCCATGAATTTGAAGATCGGTAGAAAAGACAGATTAATTTAGGCGAGCAAAAAGAATACCAGCTTGTGTTTGAGTGAGACTTGGAAGAAATCGGATCCTGCAACGGTCTATTCTTCGAAAAGTGTAGGCATCGATATTTCAAAATGGCGAGGGGCTTCAAGACTGCTTTCTAGGGGTGAGATTCCATGGAAAACAATATCTTCAAAAGTCATCGGTTAATGAATGGAAATTTGAAAAGAAATTGAACAATCTTAAACTGGGCTTAAATTTGATATGCGTCTTGAACGCAAGAGAAACTCGCGAGTATTTTCCCCTGCAACCTTATAATACGCGGGTGACAACAGTGCGCCTGAAAGAGTTTGCCACACACCATGGCCAATCATACTGCGCGAGATCTGTAGACCCAATGCGCGACTGGAAAAGGTCGACAGATTCTGCGTATTGCGATTAGCCAACGCAATGCAAACTCTTGGAGGCACAAGCCTCATAAGGGTGTAAGTAGCCTTGGTCAAGGCGTTCGTTATTCAGGGTGCAGTCCACTAATTCAAGCGAGAATTTATGGCCAGCTCATTAGCATTAAAAGTGCCCCCCCCCATTATCTTTTGAAAAAGGAGATTGTATGGCCCCCAAAAAGGTGAGATTATGTAAATCTTTGCCAGAGTCGACTCCCTTGGTCTTTGGGCTTTCATCTGAGAGCAAAATGGCTGATAAATACTGTTGAAAACGGTCCTAAATGCCCGAGAAAGTTGAGGATTGTCACTTGAAAAACGGCTGCGAGCAGACCTTTAGAAAAACGGCTGCGAGCAGACCTTTAGAAAAATCACTTCTTGGGGGGTGGGGATTTGATTTTGGGGAATAACTCAAAATGCAATCGGTTAACCCACAGAAAATTAAAATGGAAGTGAAAGATTATGGACCATACAATAATTTAACGTGCGTTTCAGATGCCTCAGGGATGTTGGTACGGGATTATTGGGCCCCGAACAACGCTGATTTTACACCGTTTTCGATGGGGACTGAATTTGTGGACTACACCCAATTCAGCGCAGCGCACGGTATCGCACCTGCCCCTCGAAATCAAGGGGAAGAGCGACCCCACGCGGTCTACGGCATATGCAAATCAGCTAAACCAGTTGAGTGATTTGCATATTTCTAAGACCGCGTGAGGTCGCTCGCCGCCTTGATTTCGAGCGGCAGGTGCGCGTTTCCATGCCGTGCGCTGCGCGTTGCGACGAATAACGCAAGGCTAGTAATAAACTGCCATGGACAACAGTGATAAATATCTCCACTTCAAAAGAATCAGGAAAAAAAATCAAAAATTTCAAAGGTGTTCAAGACACATAAAAAAAATAAAGTTCACTTCCTCGTCCTTCATTTTCCTTTCAATTTTTAGCGGTTTAACCGATGACTTTTGAAGATATTTTTCTCTTGAGAAAATCACCCCAAAAGACACTCGTAAGGCCAAAATTGAGGTAAGGTGAAAATTGATGCCTACTTTAAGGCAGTGCAAAATAGAGCAGTGGTTCAGAAATACAAGCTGGCAGTCCAGCCCCAGGATTTCATCCACCTTATAACAGCAAGAGCGCCATAGACTCGGAATTCCATGTTCGTGTAACAATGGGAAATAGTTTAAGTCAGAGAATGGACTCTAAACTGTAGATTGGTCGAGAATGGGCGAGGCAAACTCAGCACGAATCTGCAGTTCCTCGTCCATTTTCCTTGACAGAAGTGGCCATGGGGCGATGTGATTTGGACCGAAGCGGTAGGGGCGAAGTGGAAATGGGGCGAAGTGACTGTGAAGCCTTGCAGTGCAATCATTGTTCAACCGAGGGCGCCCAACAGGTTTTACAGAGACTGCAGTTACACAACATCGTGTATGAAAAACAATCAGTTGATTCGTACTAATTATAGTTTGGGTTTATTCCATGGTCGTTTGGAATGTTTTCCGGTGGTTTAAACGGTGTTGTCTTGTAGTTTCTTGGTATTTTCTGGAGGTTTTGGGTGCGTTGTCTTGTTTTGCGTTGTTTTATGGTAGTTTTCTGACACTCTCTGGTCTTTTGTTATCTTTTACTGGTATTTTTCGGTCGTATTCCTGTTGTTTTCAAGCTACTTGCAGTTTGCCGCTCTTGAAACGTCAAGACGACCATTTACATTCTCATACGTACGTTTGATAAACCTAGCACTCTTTCCAGGTTTCGGGGCGTTAAGATCACTGACCTTTCAAATTAGTGCCGTCTGCGCATATCTGCATCGAAACCGAGGCGCTCTGTGTTGAACTTCATCACGCGCGCCAGTGGAGTCCACACAGTACATGCAGTATTCGGTTCGAAAATGTGACGCCACTTCAATTTAAACCACGCCCACTTTACAACATACACGACCATCGCAGGTATGTTAGGTCGCGGTAAATTGCCGTTATCTTTTCTTTCAATTATACCT